GAATGAAATGAGAACTTGATTGAACTTATCTGGAACTGAGTTTACATCTAATGTCAAACTGGACTTTGCTCGAAAGTCTACCATAGCACTTACAACATAAGTCAAACCACCCACTTCGGGATCAACACAGGCCGCTTCCACAACCGTGACAGCGCTGTTGTCTTTATGAATCCGACAATTCAACAAGAACAGTTCCGATCAACAAGAGCCACACTTATGGAGGGGTCTCTGTAGCACCAATTCCTGGTGATTTCTTCCCATCCAGCATGGTGATTGTGCATTGCAGCACAGCAAATCAGACATACAATGCTCAAGGGCTCCTCTTCAGGTTAAAGCCCTGTCGTAGATCCAACCTCGCCCTGCTGAACAACTTCTTAAGTGTTCTCGCTTCCCTTTCAACACCACCAACCGCTTCATGTCCTTGCGGAGGTGCTCTCTGGGCCACTATCCAAATCTCCAGCTCCCTTAATCAGGACGCTAACCGTGTCTTGGTCCGACAAAGTGAGAAGTGACGAGAGATTGAAGCAATGCCCAACGGAACCTTCCGTCTTTGAAGGTACAGTGAGAAAAAAAAGATTCCTCATGTTATGTTATGTGGACGTCAAATTCTCTGTGGAACCAAAGAGGCCATTCGGTTGGTCCATTCGCTTCCCAAAGTAGTAGTAGTAGCAGTAGTAGTAGTAGTAGTAGTAGTAGTAGTAGTAGTAGTAGTAGTAGTAGTAGTAGTAGTAGTAGTAGTAGTAGTAGTAGTAGTAAAAGTAGTAGTAGTAAAAGTAGTAGTAGTAGTAGTAGTAGTAGTAGGTAGTAGTAGTAGTAGTAGTAGTAGTAGTAGTAGTAGTAGTAGTAGTAGTAGTAGTAGTAGTAGTAGCAGTAGTAGTAGTAGTAGTAGTAGTAGTAGTAGTAGTAGTAGTAGTAGTAGTAGTAGTAGTAGTAGTAGTAGTAGTAGTAGTAGTAGTAGTAGTAGTGGTAGTAGTAGTAGTAGTAGTAGTAGTAGTAGCAGCAGCAGCAGCAGCAGTAGTAGCAGGAGTAGTAGTAGTAGTAGTAGTAGTAGTAGTAGTAGTAGTAGTAGTAGTAGTAGTAGTAGTAGTAGTAGTAGTAGTAGTAGTAGTAGTAGTAGTAGCAATAGTAGTCGTCACTACCGCTACCGCTACCGCTACCACTACCACTACCGCCACTGCTACTTTTTTTTCAACTACTACGATTACTACCATTATTGTTATCACAATTACTACCGCTATCATCACCACTACTATTGCTATTCCTATATTTACTTCTATTGCTACTGCTATTTCTACGACTGCTACTACTACAGACACGGCTGTTGCAGACAGAGCTGGGGGGGGTGGGGGGGGGGGTCCACAATCTCTAGCAGTCCCAACAATGTTGAGCACACGCCTCTCCTTCCTTGGGTTGGTTGAGCCGAGGAAAGCTGCACACTTGGACCCTTCGAATCAAGTAGCCTTTCCACGGGCCCTTTTTTGGGCTGGTTGTGAGCCGAAGAAAATCTTCTTCTGCACGTAAGACGCAAGTCACTACAACAACACCGCGCGCGAACACACGGCATGTACATCGAAGACGCCTTACTTCATTATCGTCAGGAAGAACATGCAGGAAACGGCATGCCACAGTGCAAACACTGTTAGAAGATGTACCACTGGTCGGTGTTCCGTAAACATGTCCAGATGGATCCGTGTGGATGGTACAAGCCACAGACGACGGGAGCAGTGGAACCGGACATTTCATCGGAACCATTAAATTCAGGTAGTCACCCGCAGCACAATGCTCACACCTCAATAGGAGCATATAAGAGCCAACATGAACTTGAAACCGCAGGAAGCTGCAGACCCACAAACACTGACCGACCCCTCTCTTTCTGCGGCGCACAGTGGGGTCAGCGTGCCATGGGGTTTGTAAGGGCAAGCCCTACAAGAAACCATCAGGAAAGGCCCGACATAAACCTTAAGAACGGAAGCACCGGTGCTGCTGGGCTCTCCGCCTATGCGACGGAAGCGGGCGCCTCGTTACTGCCTACACATGAAATGTATGAGTGCAGAAATTTGGGACGCGAGCATTGCCGCTTTTGCTGACGCTCGCCTGCTAAACTAGCATCAATTTGTACGCGGCAAACCCGCCCGGCCCTTGGTGTCTGAAGGTGCACAGCAAAGATGGGCGCGCGACAGTGTCCGGCATGGCACCAAGTTTTGCTAGCACACCTGCGTCACCAAGCGCCCATTTCAAGCACGCAGACTGTGAAGGCCACGGAAATCACAGCAGAGGATGTCAAGCACTTGTTGGAGAATGAGGCGTTGCCTGATGTTTCGCAGCGTGCGTTGCTTAATGTTTTTAACCACACCTGCTGCTTGTGCAATGTTGCGTCATAACTAAACAACAAGGCTGGAGAACGCACATGAAAAAGAACCACACGGAAAAATGGAAGGCCATTCAACGTGCTTCGCAACTCAGATGCAAGTCAGTGGTGCTCATTAGTCCCTGCCGCTTCTGCCAATGTTTGGCTTTTTCCAAATCGCTTTTCTGAAAAACCGTGGCGGAGACGGCAGAGGAACAAAACGACTGTGAGGCGTGTCATCCCCATGACGAGACCAGCAGCGATGCCTTTGTCGGAGACAACAGGCGAAGACCCACAGATCCCAGCGTCGCAGACCAGCAGGCAAAGGAGGCAAGGGACAGGGAGGCAAGCCACCAAGACGGCGCCCGGGGAGACCGAGAAGGGTTCCGGCAAGCACAGCAGCTTTTTCTTCTGCGATTGACTGGGGGTTGGAACTGCTGGGACGATTACGGGCTACACAGTTGCGAATTCTATATTTACAAAGGGAGAGCGGAACCTTCCACGAGCACATGCTCAGAGCACGTTCTCATAGGGGCGGGTAGGGTGGCACACAAACTTCTATAGAAAGTGGGCACCCAGACCTCCCACTTCAGATCACCAAACACACGCACATATGTTGTGAGAACAACATGCCCTAACATATATGTCACAGGAAATAACTTTGTTTAATCACAAGGGAAAGAAAACTTCATCCGCACTTATTTCCCCTTTGTAAAACACTGGGGCATACAGAATAGACGATGTACATTCTCCATCCAGAACGTCGAGAACTCAATCCTATCTCATACACACACTGCTAGAAACACATGGGGATTGAGAGTAGCCCACGTTTCCCAGCCACACGTCAAACACGTGGGCACGTCAGGAGCGCCGCTCACCACTTTGGAGTGCGCCTCAAGCAATCCTTCAATGCACTTTGCGTCCACATTGACAGGCTTGTGTCTAGGCCGGGCACATTCCCCGCGAGATGGCTCGTCATTTCATTTCATTCACGCGCGCGCCTCGTGTTCCCCTCCTACCTGCGGCGGTTTCCCAAATCGCCTGGGCCGTTGGCGGCTGTCCCCTTTTGGGCTCTCTCGGCTTGTGGATTCTCTCAAGCATCTGCCAGCTGTGCCTGGCCGCTTTTCCACTGGAAGCATTAATTCACCTTGTGTGATGTTTCCTATTGGAGTCTGCACCCGATCATGCGAAAGGCGGCGCAGTCTGGAAGCTTCTGGAAGAGGATCAGTGCGTCTGTGCTGCTTTCCAACGTGAGTGAGAGTGTGATTGGCATCGTGATGGTCTCGCTTTGGTAATCCTCCTTCAGTCCTTGATGAGCATGAAACCGATGCAACATGTCCTCTTGCGCGCTGCCGGGCTACTTGCAATGCCCCATGTGTGTGCATATGAGATTGGATTGAGTTCTCGATATTCTGGAGAATGTACTTCGTTTATTCTGTATGTCCAGTGTTTTACCACATGCTAAGCACAGAGCGTGCGCTTCGTGCCTGTAGTCACAGAGGCAACTGGGGCATTTGTTCAACATTGCCAAGGCAACAGCTGCAAGGGAGTGAACAGAAGCCTTTTTTTGCATGTTGAGCTGTTGCAGGACCTATGTAGACATGCACTTGCTCACACGACGGTGCAGGGGATGCCCGTTTTGCTGCAGCCACACTGATGACGGACACGTAGTCCCTGGGATGACTGGTTCCTATTGGCAGCGCGCACGTGATCTTGGTCGCTCGTTTTTCCAACCACGACCACCCCCTGAGTGGTGCCTCCGCTTGAATATGTCAAGCCTCCTCGGCCTTGTATCGGTCAAGCCTCCCCGCCTGTGCTGGCTCTTGTAAGGTTTTCTTTCCGGACCAGCCACGCCTTTTCTTGTCCGGCACTCTTTGTTTGTAAGCTCTCTGAAGTAGGGGCTAGGTGGGGTTTTGCACCACCCTCAGAATTAGCGTCAGGCTTAATGTCCTTGTTGAGTGTGATATTGAAAAATTGTTGTACTGTAGACAGAAGCTCTAATCTTTTATTGTATGCATCTGCAGCCAAACGTAGACTTGTTCTGACACGAACTTCCAGAGACTGTTCTGACGGAATAGAGAGGGCGAAACATCATGTTAAGCGCAGGTGCCATGATGCTCAAGTGATATCGGTCAATGCTTCCGGTGCTTAGCACGAACATGCATCAACAAATGAAGCCTTTAGGGTTGATCCGCGAATCTGTAGAAATCGAAGAGCCCGCGGTACTAGCATAGCTTCAGGTAGGTGCGACATACCATGCAAGACCCGGCTCTCTTAAGCCAGACCTGCCAGGGATCATCCCCGAGCGGAGGAATTCTCCCAACATTGGTGGATCCGCGCCCCACTTCTCTGCAAGTATCTAGCACAAAATGAACACGCGATCACGTAAACGATTGCAAAACAAATGGGATGCGTGAAATCGGCAATTCCTGAGCGCAATGCGAACTGCGCTGTGCGGCAGATGGTCTGCAGCTGCATTTGGCTCGACGTGTACAGGACTGAACGACATGGGTACTGACATGTACTGACGAAAGTTGAAGTCAAAAGTTGGGCTGCAGTGGAAGCAGAAGCGCTTCTCTTGTGTGCAAGCGTTGACAGAGATTCATAATCGCACAGCAGACGTGCAGCAGGGTAATGGATCCGGCACGTTGCCATGGAAGATGTGCTGGTCCAATTCTACCGCGGTCAGTTTCGGTGCTCATTGGGGTATTTACGAGATCTTCATGGTTGGCAAGGTCAGTATGACAAGTTGGAATCAAATCATCTGCTTCTTGGCAGTGTTGTTGTGTGGCTTCGTTGTGCAAGTGCAGCTTTCAGGTGCGAAGATTCAAAAGACATGGATCCATTTGTGAGGTACATACAGTGGCTTTTTCCCAATTATTTCCAGTCGCAATTTAATTCCACGGCGCCGCTATTGAGCAAACCTGGAGCTCGCGTTTTCCGCAGCGACGCAGAGATCGCGGGCGCTTTGTCTGGATTTCAATCTGCAACACCCCTAGCCAGCATTGCTGTTGTATTTCAACGTTTGCCAATGGATGTTGTTGACCACACCGAAACCCAGTACAAGGAAAATACATCCAATCATACCAGCTCTTCTTGGACTTCTTGGGCCTGAGGACAGTGCTTTCGTGAGCAGGTGTTGCCATCACGTTTTTGAGAACTTTGGGACCGAACGAGTGCTGCACAGGCTCGTTGATGACAAGACCGGAGAAATCGGTCGTATTCCAAACGGGCGCACCAGATTATATGAAGCTTTAGTGCTTCGACATCACAATCACCTTCGAATCCGACGGGTATTGGCTTCCCTGGCAGTCACCGGGTCCCCGAGCAGACGATTGGTTGTGTTTTTGTGTTTTGCATGAGGAAGTGTTTCGCTGTGCTGACAAGCTTGTAACAGGCAGGCATTGCATTGATGGTGAGCTGAAGGTTTGAGCGTTACATGGCCCCATTGGTAAACCATTTGCGGTGGGAGATTCTGGGGATCAGTCCTCGTGAGACCCTCGGCAACAGCACGAGCACGGATGTGTGTGTGTGTGTGCACATAGAAGGGGAGTCGATGGGGCTTGAGAATCAGCATAAGACAAGGATTGCTGGAACACGCGCATGGTGCCTTGTTTGAGTGTGTTCCGCCAGTGTGCCCCAGGAAGAGTCAGGCGCACCCATCGGTGCGCCGGCGCATGGCTGCTTACGTGCGCACCATGCTGCCAGGCCTCTTGAGATTGCAGGTGATTGCGGGTTGGGTTTTTTCATGGTATATATATATATATGTATATTTTTTTTGGAAGCGGACAGGGAAAGGCACGTTGAAACACAAACTCACACCTTCGAGGCCGTGAAAAACCCATCCTGCGGCCGCTCCGGAACATCCCCTCGGCCTTGGAGACCTGGGACAAGTACGTTGATGGCAATCCGCACAATTATTCCAAGAACACTCGCGCTTCCGAAGAAGACCGTGTCGAGCCGCCTGACTGGATGTTAGTTTGTGTTTTTTCAGCACATCCTTTTGATTTGAGCCTGTAGTGACTGTAGTGCTTTTGCATGTGCGGTTCCGAGGTCGGTTTTCTTTGGGCGCACGGGTCAGGAGTTTACCGGTGGGTCGCCGGAGGAGCTCGAGCTTGAGTCTGAGCGTGCAGAGAAACGGTTCCACGCTGCATTTAGGAGCCTTCAGGGTGACCGAGGTGACAGTGGTTCGATACACGCTTGTTGTCACTTTCTTGACTCTTCAAGTTGTGCAGTTAAAGTCGTTCAGCCTCGAGGCTGCAGTCTACCGAGACGTGTTGCACGAGCTGCGCGCGTTTGCTGATGATTCACTAGGCCCACTAGGCCCTCGATGTTGAACATTGCCCACGAGATTGCCCACAAGATTCCGGCTAAGCTCCGAGCCGTCAGAAACGCAGGGCCTTTGCCCGCTACACTGAGTTCTTACGGCCCCAGAACAAAGCCCCGAGATGCTGGGCTGCTGGACCAGAAGGTCGCCGGGTGCTACAAGAAGGTGTAGGGCTCTGGCGCTCCATCATCTGTGCCTGTGACAGCAGTCCGAAAACAGTTCGAGCTGGCTGACAGTGCATGTAGGTCCAACGTGCAAAATTTGGTCCGTGGGCTCATACAGTTGCAGGCTTTTGCAGCTCTCCATGCGGACGACTGTCTGTGACACGCCACCTCCTTTGCAGGCACCCTCCGCGGCTCAAGCACAAAGGAGGGAACCAATTTTCAACCGACGGATGGCCCGCACGGTCCTTTTTGCGCAGGCGAGGAATTCGTGTGGAAGTGTGTTGGCGTTAAATGACCAAGAGCTGTATGACCCATCATCTGTATGTTTGGCTCACGTGCGTGCAGGATGATCATGCTGCAGCAGAGTGCCTGGTGTGGGAATCCCAATCGGAGTGTCAGCAATCTTTGGGGTTCGCCCTTGCCCTACACATAAAAATGCCGTGAAATTATGCAGGGCCAGGAACACGTGCAAGAAGTCGTTGGAGCTCGGCATTTTGCAAGACATGCGGGATTACGCTGGAGAAGTATCGCATGCTGCGCCCAATTGCACGTTTGGACATGCCTTGGCTGGCAGCAAACTTGCTCTCAGCTGCCAGCAGATCGGGACAAGAAAGGGAAGTAGCCCCTGAGCGGAGATTTATACCCATTGAAGCCCTTAAGTTTTCAGAGCCTTCCACCCGGCTTGGTGCTTAACAGACGGTCCCTACTGCAACACAACCAGCAATTACGGCTATGAATTGAAAAGTTTCAAAAACTGATTGGGAACCCTCAAGGAAGCAGTTTCATTCCGAGGAAATTTCAGTTGTAGTACGGACCGTCCTGCGTCACGTTATTGCTGGTGTAATTTTATGTAAGAAAAAGTTTGGCCATAATGCTCAACACATTGCCGGGTCCTTCCAACTTTTTTCTTACAATGCCCAAAACCAAAATGTCGCCCATCATGCGCTCATGGGAACGTCGCTTCCAGCACTAAACTTTAATTTCAATTCAGGAAAATCCTGCAGGCTCATGGAAACGTCGATTCCGAAACTAAACCTGTACTGCAAACCAATGAACATCCTGCCGGCTCATCAGAACAAGGTCATGGAAACGTCAATTCCCGTATATTAAGCTTGTACTGCCAAACAATGAAGATCCCGCAGGCTGATGGAAACGTCCTTGCCAATAGTAAACTTGCGCTACAAACCAAAGAAACTCTTTTCGGGTTGGGATCCCTCGTAAACCCCCTAGAAGGACAAGGGGGCTAGGCTTGTATACTGTAAATACAAGTAAGAATCATAAAGCCTTCATCATCGGCAGCACTTGTTTTTAGATATGCGCTAGCACGAAACCGGATTCAGCATAAGCATTCCTGTTGGGCAGGTACTGGATGTCAAGTTGTTTTTTTAGGCTTTGCCACCACCCCCCCCCCCCCCCACCTAATTTCTTTACACAACCCCAGTTGGATGCTTGAGTTTCGAATACCCACCATATAACCATGATTCAGGCACATCTATACTCTTTTGGTTGTAGTTGGGACCGCTTTTTGGACCAGTTGTGATAGGGACCACTTTTCAGTTGTAGCATGGCCCATCTGGTAGTAGTATAGGGCTTCCGGTTGTGGTAGGGACTATTTCCGGGAGGGGCGGGGGGGGGGGGGGTTGGGGTGGGGGCAGGAGGCAATGAACTTTGTGTGGTCGGGTGACTATGCGCAAGATTTCTACAACATACTTCCAGAGCAATGATGCGAACCAGGTCGTTCAATGGTGTTTGTTCTTCACTGGTGTCTCATATAATTGCGAAATTGGAGCCCTCAAACCCCTGAACCCTAAAACCCCCCTCAACCCCAAAGCCCTGAAACCCCCAAACCCCAGACCGCGGCTTGCCAAGGCCACTAAGCACCGGCCATCAGGTCCTCGGCCAGGACCCCAAAAGTGGGGGCCAAGCTCGTAAGAAGACGTCTTGGAGGAAAACCTCAATACAAGCAGAACACATGTGAGTAAATGCTTGTGTAACATGTTGGTAACAGTACTACTAATTGTGAAGATGTTTTAGAAATATTTTATAGTAGTGTGTTTCAATTTTTTGGTAGTACATCAGCAATAGTTTCGAGAGATTGTACTTTAACACTTCACAGTTTGAAGAAGTTAGCAATATGCTAGCAATAAATGTATGAAGAATATGAGTAACATTTTAGTATCAAGGAAGACTATCAGGCGCACCTTGCTGCTACTTTGTTCCCCGAGGTGTGGGCTGTGGTGCGAGCACCTCCATCTTTGCAAGGCCCGGAAACGGGGAAGCTTCCGCAAGATTCCGAAGGTTTTTGGTAACTTCCCAAGAGCCCATGAGAGCCCAAAAGAGGCGATGTGTGGACCTGGGCTTTGGCTTCGTGAGCGGTGTGGAGCCCACGGTGGTCGCGGGCGCCCTGGAGCGCTTCAAGCCGGACGTCACAGAACCGACCTCAGTGGGTTGTGGCCTTCAGACAGCGCGTGGAACGTTGCAGTTCGAACTGGGGCAGGTGCTGGTGCCCGACATCAGCGGCCAAGTTCCTGAGTCCTTAGCTGCTGGGGGCGGTCGGCAGTATGTGGTGAAGGTGCTGATGGCCTGTAGCATGACCTTCTGTTGATTGCGCAGTCTCTTCTGTGGTAGGTGGGCGCTCCGATGAAAGGAGCACCCTGGCCTGTCCGAGCCATAGCCTGTCAAAATCAAGCTCTTTTCGACTGCGCTGTTGCTGATATTATGCGTCCTGTCAGAAATGTCGCAAGTACACTGATCTGCTGTCACAGGGCCATGTTGGCAATAAAGTCATAGAGCCCTTCAGGAGTTTGCGCCCATCTGGCTGCAGCAGGCACGGGACGAGAGCACAAATTTGACAAAGGTCCCGGAGAGTTGATCCCTAAACCCTAAACCCCAAACCCGAAACCCTAAACCCTGAACCCTCATAGAAGCCGTATTCCACGGTGGAGGCGAATAGCCGCGTCGCCATTTGCAAAGCCTCCGGGGAGGAGGTCTGGCACGTGCTGGGATTTTTCTGCTCTCTGCTCTCGACCTTTGGCAGCCTTGGGCTTCGCTGAAAAACTCCTCGTTTGCAGGTGGGTGCAGAGCTTGTGGCTGTAGGGAAAGACGAGACAGCTTTGTCGCTCCGCCGTCACCTAAGTGTGTAGGCTTCTTTGAGTTGCTTTGTGGTGTCCCCTGGTCATCTTGCCACAGCTGAGGTGCAAAAAATGCTTTGGCTGCGGCCAGACTTCTGAAAGTTCTCCTGGAGGAGGGTGAAGGCTGTGCCGCCAGATGTATCAGAACACTCTACAGCCCAAAGCCTTAAAGTGGAGCTCGCAGCCAGCCATACTGGACAGCCAAGTGTCTAAACCTCAGACTGAGCCCTTAGCACCCAGTCCGGGTACGCCATGTGGCAATGACCTGGATACCAGCTCTCTAGCAACTCTAGCATGCTGCCTAATGCGTTAATACGCATGATCTCGCACGCTGGTGAGAAGGCTTGCGTAGAACAGAAGCGGCTCCTGGCAGCTCGCGAGGCGCATTGCCAAAGCTCGAGCCGGCAGCCGCGGTTCAGAAAGAGGCGTGGCAAACTTTGCGGGAGTCTTTTGTGAGTCAGACAGCGCTGGCAATGTTTCTGTTGAGTTTGACATGCTATGTGGAAGAGTCAGCATGGTGAGAAGACTCATCAGCAGGGTTTATAGCAGTTTGTCCTTGTGAACGCAGGCCCCGATGCGAATCGACTTGAGTTGGGACGAGGTCACTTTGTCTTTTGTCTCTTTTCGCAAGGCTGAATTCTCGTCTTGTGAGCCTTGGCGGCAGGATTCCGTGGACCGTTTCATCCGCGCGTACCTCTTCCCTCCGCATGATCCTGCAGCCGCTCCCTCTGGAGTTATCTCCGGAATCTCGTTTGCGAGCCTGTGTGCCAAGATGGGCGAAGGGATCACAGGCTTTGAATGCCTTTTGCGCTTGAAGGTCGTGGAAGTTCCGACCAAGAAAGACACCTACTTCATCGAGAACATGGAGCTGCTAAGCTTGTGATTATATTGAATGTTGAGCTCGTTCTTCAGACCGTCGTTTGTGCAACTGAAGCGGCGCTAGAGACCGGGCCATAGTTTCGAGCAATCTCCGAGGCAGTTCAACGACTTTCGCATGAAGGTACGCCATGCCTCCACAGCCTTGTGCCATTGCCAGAAAAGAGAGGTCTTGACTCGGACACGCATGCGGGATGTTTGCAGAGCCAGGTCCTGGAAGAGGGTGTCCGAGACGACTTCACGAATCGAAGTTATGCGGCAGACACGCTGCTGCCTAAACCAACTGAGCGGTCCTTGTCTTGGCGATGCTTCGAGAATTCAACAACTCTGTGAGGCATTGGTACTCTAACGTTGGTGGCAGCATCGTGAAGATGGGTGATTCCGACATCCACATGCCGCTGAAGACCTCAGACAAGAAGCACAAGGCTCCCCGGAGCCGTCACGCCGTCATCATCACCGTCACTGTCAAACTCATGTCATGTGTATACATTATATATATATATATATATATCTATATATACATCTATATCTATATCTATATCTATATCTATATCTATATCTATATCTATATCTATATCTATATCTATATCTATATCTATATCTATATCTATATCTATATCTATGTATAGATAGAAAGATATATATATATATATATACACATATGACTCAGGTCATGCATGCATACATATATATATATATACACATGCTACATGTGTATTTTACATACAGATATTGTAAATACTCAGGTACATGCGGAAAGCTACAAGACAAGGATGCTGCCAGGCCATCATCCCCGGGGCCGCACTCGGTGCCCGAAAGAAGCTGCGGATGAACGAGCCGCTCATAGGGTCGCAGCCTCTGTCGAGTGCCCACACGTTCCACGTGTTCACATGCCGGACTGCGCCCTGGGCTTCTTGCGGCCGGCTCGAGGCCGAATGCCGAGCGCTACTGCAGTGGGGCGTTGGCCTCCGGTTGGATTGGCCTGGTGCCGAGAGTGGCTGATTCGTTCCGTGGAGTTCTTCGTGTCCGAGCCAGGAAAGATGCATAGGCTGAAGATGCGGTAGTATAAGACTGCGCCAGTCTATTCATGTCCGAGAACTAGGGAAGGTTAGGCCAGAGGACTTGGCAGCAATGCTTCGCCCCATCTTCGCCTTTGCAGCCGTTTCTCAGAACTCCAAACAAACATGCACTCCTAGAAGCAATGCAAGTTTCAGCTGAGGTTTAGGGAATTAAATCATGAGATGCAATTTCTTGCAAGCAAGTGTTCGAGACACGTGATATTGTACTTCTTTTGAAGCATTGTGTCGGCTCGTCAACCTACTGTACCAACAGCCAAGATTCTTGCAGCTTTGTGCATACATTCGCAACCGGGCATGGCCGTGTGTCCACAAACCAGTGGCGACTGGGCCAACAGTGGGGGTAACTGATGCAATGATGGTGTATGCTCTCGCTGGCGTGTGCAATATCATACATGTTTCTATAATATCTGATGTATCAAATACATCATAACGGTTATTCCCCAGGCAGTCTACTGTTGGGGTTCTAAATTCATTCAAAGATTACCGACATTCTGAGAACTGTTGCCGGGTTCCTGGGATCCCTAGATGTCAATATACATATGTATATATATATATATGTATACATACATACATATACATATACATAGACATATGCATATGCATATGCTTATGTGTATAATATTCTATATACATTGGGCGATCGATCACCGACTGTTTCTTGTTCCGTTTTTAGGCTTGGCAGCCTGTGCCTCCGTGTGGGCCTCGCGTGGGCTGGGAGGTGCGGCATGGGATTCACGCACGGCTTCTCTGCTTTCAGCTTGCCATTCGCAGCCTCAGACGGACTGAGTTGCAGGCTTCCTGGCTGTACGTTCAGGACTCCTCCTCAGCATCCGATCAGCGACTTCAGAGATTCAATGTATCCAATTCGGTGCCTTGCGCATGCTCCATCCTCTGCTTAAATGCTTAGCAGCTGCTTTGCTGCTTTCATTGCTCAGGACGTCAGCCATTCGCTGCCTTAAAGCAACCTCGGCCTCGATCCCTCGCAGAGTTTGAGGCGGCCAGTTGCATTTGCGATTTGCCAGTTTAGGAACCAGCTGCTTGCACAAGCTTGGTGACTGTTTGCTTGATTGTTGGATGTTCATCTGCTTTTGTGTGCCTTCTCGCTCATTCTTTCTTCCGCTGCGTATTTTCTGCTTCGTGCTCTGACTGGAGTTGCTTTAGACTTCCTGGGTATACATTGAACACGCTCCTCGCGTGGTGACCTTGCAGGTTGATTTCGAATCTCCCATCGGACGAGGAGCTTGCTCAGTTGTTTTTGCCACTGCACCGCATTTCATGACTTACAACGTCGGTGACATGACTGGTTAAATAGTTGTTCTGAGGCTGGCAAGCACAGAAGCACAAACTTCGATGTGGCCGTGAAGGCCTGCAGCCGTGGCCACTTAAACGTACTTGTGTGCGCCGTTGATCGAGTTGCAGCTACGAGTTCAGTACAAGTGTCAAGTGCATCATCGTAAATCGAGGGTTGCTAGGAAGCTGTGTGGTTGCAGTGGGATTGCAGATGAAGAGCTGGGGTGTGCAGACAAGTCAAGCCTCTCCAGCTGGGTTGCTTCAGAAGAGGATCGCAGACATGGTGAGACAACTTTGATACAACATTTTGAGGGCAGAAATTTCGGACGTTGCGAAGCTTAGAAGTTGTCGCGAGGTGATGAGCACGGCCATGCCCACTGAGACCGGGGCCCTGCCAGTTGCTTCAGGCGACAACTCACGAAGCAACCGAATATGACCACTCGCATGCCCACCTGCAAGTACATCAAGTTCAAACCTTGCCATGAGTCCTTAATTGTAAACGCTTGCGCGCGCCGCCTCGGCAGCCGGGCCGGCCCCAGGACAGGAAAGGAGGGTTTCGCAAAAAAAGGGGAGGAAGGGCAGCGGGGTTAAAGGGGGGGGGGTGGGGGGGGGGGGGGGGGGGGGGGGGGTGGAGGGGGGTGGGGGGAGGGGAGGGGAGGGGGGAGGGGTGGGGGGGGTGGGGTCACTCCCCTGTAGGAAGATGGACAGGCGGGACCCTCCACGGCATCGGTTTGCAGCTCCTCCAAGCGATTGGGGGGGCTCCCCAATCGCACAGGGGGGGGGGGGGGGGGTGGCGTCACAAAATTTTGCATGGGGGGAAGGTTTGGGTTAGGGGGAAGGAGGCCCGATCCGGGTCTGCTTGTTCCAGATGCTTCTCGGCAGGAAGCCGAGGCGAATGTCCATATTTCCAGCCAGGTATTCGCAACGAACGAAAAGCCTTCGATCACCTGCTTGAAGGCGGTGCGTTTCTGGGAAGGGGCCACTCGGGCCGCACCTGGTCATCCTTTGCTGCATTTAGCCATGCTTCTCGAGGCCCGGCGGACCCTCACGTCGTGGAGCTGGTGGGTCCACTCCTAAGCACACGCAGCCGGGCGCCGCCGAGCGCAGCCGAGCGCAGCTTTCTTGTCTTCTTCGTTTTCTTCGTTTTCTGTGCTCGTCTTTCAGATCTTCGGGCAACTGCAGGTCGGTTTGATGGTCTCGGCAGCGAGGTCGGTGATCTGGGCTTGGAAGTGCGGCAGGTGTGGGTTGTGTGCTGGGGCAAAGAAGCGATCGCAGACCCATCCCTTGGGCATCTGAGAATGCTGCCTGCCACGAAATGGTGAAAAGCATTCCTAAAGTGAATATCGCAGCTGCCCATCCCTGCAGGAGGAGCAAGTGCACTACTTCGTCACCGAGCTTCTGACAGGAGTGTGCGAATCTGATTTGCTAGCCGCATTAACCACACGATGAAGACGTGTTCGACGAATGCTTGCAGGAGGCTCCTTGGAAGACTCCCTGCAGCAAGGTAGCATGGAGGAGGCGACAGCGCGGCAAATCATCAGGCACGATGTGCATGATAGACTTGGAGTCGTTTTGCTAAGCAAGGTGTTGTTCGCATACAGGCACGCATTCCTCATAGTAGGGCTTTGTGCGATCTCTCTCTCTCTCTCGCTCTCTTTCCCCCCTCTTTTCTTTCTCTTCTTGTGTCTCTCGCTGCCTAAAGCCGGCCAAAGTTCAGATTAGATGCGAGATGTGTGGCAGGAGCGTCTGTCAGGGGTTGGCCAACCTTCATGAGCAAGGCTGGAGGGCTATGCCGTCCAAAAGCACCCCCAAACCCCCTGCTGAAGTATCAGCCTACTACACCCTGCCTAAGCCTCTCTTAAAACCCCCCTAAAAAGCCACCCACAGCCACCCCTAAAACCCCCCCAAAAAGCCCCTAAGCCTCTCACAACCCCCAAAAGACCCTTGAATCACCTTCGGGGCAGGCATCGTACACCGGGACCTGAAGCCCGGGAACGTGCTCTTCAGCAGGGACGGGCAGGACGAAGAGCGTTTGGGGTTTGGGGTTTGGGGTTTCTGGGTTTAGGGTTTAGGGTTTAGGGTTTCTGGGTTTAGGGGTTTAAGCGTGGAAGGCTGAACGCCAGACATGGTATGCGGACATGCTTTCCCAAAGACGACCCCAACACTTCTCAAAACGAAGCAAACCAGAGCCAGCCGAACACAAGCCAACCAAACCCCTCGGAGATCAGCTCTTTCCGGATACAACATCGTCGAACAACACATCGTGTTGACAGGGGCACCTGCCAGATCGGAAAGAAGATGAAGGATACAGTGATCGTTTCTTGTATGTCGGAGGACAGGCACCTCCTTTTTGGCATTCCCAGCGCTTGTTACTCTTGGAATCCTAGTTGTGCTCTGTGCGAGCGTGGTGGAAGGGCGAGTTGTGGTTCCCACAGGCCCAAGGAGCCCAAGCCCTGGCCGGCGAGGTATCTTCATAGCGATGAGCTAGGGTGGCAGGCGTGTTGAGCGGTTTGGCCGTAGCAGTAAAGGCAAGAAAGCCAAGAATCATCACAGAACTAGGAACAGTACAGCAACAAGAAGCAGACAATTTGTCGAAAGTCCCAGCTCCGTTTGCGGCAGCTACAGGATCCCAAGTTGATCGACTTCTCACATGCTGCCCTGGTCAGAGGCGACGAGGCGCCGGGGCTTAGGGTTTAGGGTTTAGGGTTGAGGTTCAGAGGCCAGGGTTTTGGGGTTTCGGGGTTGAAGGCTTTAGTTTTGGTCAGATTTGATCAGCCAACCCTAAACCCTAAGCCCTAACCCCTCAACCCTAAACTAGGCCCGAGGCCCTAAGCCCGAAAGCCCTAAGCCCGAAAGCCCTAAACCCGATAAACCCTAACTGGGGGTGGGGCAGACTGTCCTTGGCTTGTCAGCCAGACAGAGACGGCACTCTTCGGGAGCTATCGGTATCTCTTCATATCACCCACCCCCAACAGGCTTTCCTAAATTAAACCTTTCAGTTGTTTCATGAAGTCGTTTTTTTGTCTTCACTCACCCCATCTTGTCATTGATCAGGGTCATGACTAATAAATTAACCTTCTAAATATACTAAACCCCAAACCACCCTGGTCGCAGCTCTCGGGAGGGGGGGGGGGCCAGGTTGGGAGGTTGGGAAGCTTAGGGTTTTTCGCAGCTCTGAACAAGAGCTGCTTGCGGGGTTGGGGTCGGGGGGGAGGCAGGTTGGGAGGTTGGGAAGCTTAGGGTTTTTGGTGAGTGAATTGCAAGGGGCTAGGCCTGGGCTTGAAGGGCGCAGGTTGCAGGCATTGCTTTTGACCTGGGGCCCAATAATATTTCTTCATTCGTTTCGTATATGTAATTGAAACGCTTGCGCGCCGCCTCGGCAGCCGGGCCGGTCTTTTGAAAAGGAGGAAAGAGGGCCTCAAAAACGGTCCCAGGGGTGGTCTGGAGCTCCTCCAAGGAAAGAGGCGTCAACAAATTTTGGTGGTTGGGAAAGGGAGGAGACCGGATCCGTGTCTGCTTGTTCCAAACGCTTCTCGGCAGGAAGCCGAGGCAAATTGGTATTCTAATGATTATTCGAATCAAATAGATAAGTACTTTCGTTTTGAATCAATATTGTATATCAACCGTCATCATTCATTATTCCATGAGATTTTCCCTATGCATCACACTGCGCGTGCGCCAACGTGCTAAAGCATGCTGTTTGGTTCCACAGCCCCGCGACCCTCCACTGCCCGATGCCCGCACACTGAAGGTGTTTCACTTGTGTGTGTGGATATGTGATGTGCAGGAGATACTGACCGGCGAGCTTGGCACGAGAGGTTACGTAGCTCCAGAGGTCGGGGGCCCGGATTGCTGAAAGCAGGTCATTGAGGGTTTGGGCCTTGTTCTGCTGATGCTCAGGTGCTCTCTGAACGGCCCTATGGGAAGAAGTGCCCCTTGCCTGAGCCAGCGAGACACATCGTTAAATGGACCTTAGTGCCACCCATGTGCAAGCCCGCACTGAAGAGTCCATCCTCTCCGAAAAGCCAAAAGCATCCAAGACCCAAAGCATCAGGTGATGTGTTCTCTCTTGGCTGCACAGTGCACGCACTGCTCAGCGGTCGACCCCCACGAAGGCAGGGCACACAGATGGCAGGGAGTTCTAGCAAAGTTCCAGGCAGTTCTCAGTCTTCTGAACCAGTTTGTCAGTGCATGACGCAAGGCATGTGCGGTTTGGCTTTATCCAGCAGTTGTGCGAGCCCTGGGTTGAGAAGATTTGAGCAGTTCCGGGCGCCGAAAGGCGCCGT